CGGAAGAAGCGGTGCATGGCAGCCAGATTGCAGCGAGCGTTGTGCACCGTGTCCCTGGCAGCCCCCAGGGCGTGCGGGGCAGCGCCGGTGGCTCTGGGGACAAAGGCGTTTTAGGGCCTCTTAGCATTGCAGGAGAGTCTGAGATCGAGGGGTAGGACTGAGCCCTTGCTTACCGTGGGAGCTGTTCTCACAGCGCTTTCTCTGGCCGGACCGGAGCAGATTTTGGAATTAACCAAATTACCGCAGCAGCCAAGTTTTAAATTTGTCAAGTGGAAATGCAGGATGAGTTTCACTTCGCTTCCTTTTCTGATTCACGTAAGCAGGCAACTTGACTCGGCTGTCACGTCAGGTTTGGATGTCACATGGTTTTATGCAAGATGCTTCCTTCTGCAACAAATGCAACTGCAACGAAGCCTGTGGGAGCACGAATCGCTGTCGGAGGCCAGGGCTGCCCCTGCCCCACACAGAGTTTGCACGTGTGCACCTACTGCTTCCTTTGCTTCGCAACAAACAGCGCTGTGTGTAAGTCCTGGGCAGCTGTGAAACAGCTGCGGGTGCTGTTAGACAAAGTAAGAACTCTACCAGAACTTTAAAATTAATAATCATAAAGCAGGCCTTAGACAGAAATGCTGTGCAAAATCTGAATTTTGTACTTAGGAACTGCTGCAACATGGAACATAAAATTTTCATGCAATAGTTTGTAAAGCCTTCCTAAGCTACCGACTTCTAAAGCAAAATCAAATGGTGTACGCACAGAGATGTAACTTCTTACCGGTTAAAGCCTTTGCCTTGCGTTCTGTGGTTTTGTGCTGCTTTTTCCTGCCCGAGGACCGCAGCGCTGTGGGAGCGGATCCCGGCTGGCCGGGGCTGGGTGACCTCCCGGGACAAGAAGGTGCTTCACGGAGCGCTTTGGGAGAGACAATGCAAGACGTCATTCCCTCTGAACACTGACCTGACGCGGTTTTGTTCCCCTTCAGCTGCTGATTAATCATTCTCTTCCGTAATTGGCATTATTTGTGTACTGAAGTGTCTCTTCTCTGCTAATGGGAGACAAGCGATTATAACACATGCTGCTTTGGGGCCCTGAACTGAGCTTTCTGGAGTTTCTGGGAGCTCTGGGTAATGCTGCAAAGTTTGCTGTTCTTGCCAAAAGCTTTTGCTGTCATTTATGTATTTGAAAGTCCCAACCCTAACAATTATGAAACCATTCAGCAAGTGTCAGTGGTTCTTGTGTTTGATGGGAGTTGAGGTTCTGACTCTTAAGCAGAAAGGACATGGAATTGTTCTAATTTAAAGACATTTTTATTAAGTTAGAATTACTTAGTCTATCAGTTTGAACCTGATGAATTTCCAGCCTTAAATACCTTATTGAGCGTGGCTTGTCAGATAAGAAGATTACATGCTGGGCTTTAGTTAACAAGATTTTTAGAAATACGAAGCACAAATACTGAAAAAGCTTCAACACGTAGCAGTCCGCTGCATTGCCTGGGAAGCATTCATTCTGAAGGTGTTCCCGCTGCAAATCTGTGCTCGTGATTTCGTGATTGGGCTCCTCGGGAGCGCTGTCAGACCTGCTGAGATGGCTGCCGCGTGTCCTCTCTCATCCCTGCTGGGTGCAGGAGGGTGACTGAGCTGGCTGCATCCTCCCGTGCCCACCTGAAGGCACAAGGACCCGCTGGTGGCACAGAGCGCGCTTGTGACTACGCGCTGAATTGCATCGCGTGAAAACCAGAGCGAGCCGTGGTGCTGGCACTTGCCCCAGTTTGCTCTTTGTAGGGGTGCGGGGGCTTCTCTGCCTGGGTTTGTGCATCACCAGGGTCTCTCGCTCTGACCTCCCAAAGTTAAACTGCTGAGGAATTGTGAGAAAGGTATGTACAGAGCCAGTGATGTTTTGGTTTAAAGCTAGACCTTACTCAAAATGACCTCCAAATTACAGTCAGCGTTGTGTTTTCTGAGAAATCCTGCAACTTCTGGCTTGTAAGCGTGATGCCTGTGGGGTTTTTTCATTGAAGGGGGCAGCCCCTTCGTGACCAGTCCCATCCCCTGAAGAACTCGGTCCTGAACAGGGGCTGCAAGTTTTAGTCTGCAAATGAGTATGTTTGAGAAATACACATTGAGAGAAATTCAATTTATTTTGTACAAGGTAGAATACCTTTGCACAGTGAACAAATATATTACAAATCTGTCTTGCCTTAAAAAAGTATTGCCATTTCGGTGCCTATTTCCTAAGCTAATGCTAATATACAAGAAGGTAATTTTTTTTTGTTGGGTTGGTTTTTTTTTTTTCCTGTTAAGCTCTATGCGCATCCTTGCATTTGGTTTGAAAATCCAGCTTTGAAAAGAAAAGAAAAACCAACCCCAAACCAAAAAGCAGAGCACATCTCTGCTCTCGGGAGTCTCATCGCAAACTCTACAGCAACACAGACGCGAACGTTGGTCAGGCCGGCAGCTGAGACTGCTTGTGCTGGGTGTCAAGGTAGGTCTCTAACAAGAATATTCCTTATCGAACTGCCTTTCTCTTGATATTTTTGAGGTAAGTCTCATGTATTTCATGTACATAAAATATATTCCTACTGGCCCTACAAAATAATTGTCTACTTACATCTCAAATAAGGCTTTCCTGGAAAATAAAATTACTATTGCTGAGCAGCCATTGCCCCCATGCACACATGCAGCATTCGTGTAACTACGTAGGCCTTATCCTGCAACAGGAGGATCTGCGGCTCTGGAAGCCGGGGGTTTCTCTGGGCGCAGTGCGGCTGTCTCGCTGCGGAACTCGTGGTTTGCACGGGGGGGTTCAGAGCCAACACGACCACCC